TGTTGTTGCTAATAGCGTTGATGTTGGAGTTCGTCGTTGTTAGTAAAGATATTTTTTATCAACTCCATTCTCTCTTTTTCATTTATAACGCGTCTTGTTTATTTTTTGTTTTGGAGAATGATGATTGTGTCTTCTAAAATAACTATTATTTTGCCTTAAAGAAGAATATAGTAACATCGAGGGTGAAAAGTGGCAGAAATATATATAATTTCAAAGCTCTTTCTACGGCGGACGCTAAGTTAAATCACACCATAACAAACTTCTCTTTTGTCTTCCAATCAATTAATTTCTTTTCCATCGGGAATACCTAATAAATCTCTATATAGCGATGGAAATGAGAGATAGGGTTATATTTATCGTGATGCCGCCCGCCATCTTATTCATCCAAAAGGTTTCAAAATAAAAAGAAAGGTTTTTAAATACGAATGACCGTAATTTCATGTTAAAACATATGACGAAAATAAAAATAAGGTAATAAATAGTCTTTTATCAATTATAAAGTTTTAAAAAAATCATCATCATATCAACCGATCGTTGTAAATTGGGTTTTTGTAAACTGAATCATCAATTAGAATCACATATAGAAATATAACCATCTATGTCGAATGGCAAACGATAGCTCTGTGGCGTTTCTGCTGCGGATTCGCAGAGCGTTGCTACCGTTCAGGTAGAGTGAAAGACACTTTCGACAAAGCTAGTCTACTTGTCGAGCAACGACAACTTTTCTTACTCTGCCCCTTCTTCAAAACCACTCCTTCTTTATATAATCCTTCCCTTCATTATCTTGAAATTAATAATAAATATCTTTCTTTCTATAGTCTCTTAAAAGTATTCGTGTTCTTGGCTGAAACACTGTTCAAATCTATCATCTTAAAAATTTTCATCCAAAAATAAATCTAAAATTTCATCATTGGAACAATTATCTTTCAAACAAAACCCTTGTTCTCTGTTTGGATAATTCTCGTGATCCACTAAATAATCAGATTGAAACATTTTTAAA